GATTGTCACCAGTTGTAGATTTGGTATATAGCGGTCCAAGATAATCTAATCCAATGCTGCTGAAGGCTGGCGATTCGGTTACTCTAAATTCTGGTAGAGGAGGTGCATCAGGATAACTATAAGGCTTCGCAGCAAATCTACATGTTGTGCAGGAGAAGATCAATTGTCTAACACGGATAATCCAATATTTAGATCTAACTTCAGTAAGGGTATCTTTAACTACACCATGTTGGACTCTTCTGTGGCAAGATCGGGTAATAAGTGTTGTGAACCAATGAGATTTATCAAGGATAATTGGGTGCTTGGACGAATATGCGAGATTAGAGTTCTGTAGACGTCCACCACATCTCAGTATTCCAGCTTCATCTTCAAACAGCTCGAGTCGATGACATAGTCTATTATAATCTTCTCTGGAATTCAAATTTCTCTGTACTTCTTTAATCCATAAAGTTTCAGCATTTGAAATATCAGTAGGTGTCAATTCTTTAATTAGATGTTGAGGATTTTTAGACTTCAGTAATTCAATGAATTTCAAAATGTAGGCTGTTATTCGAAGAAGCCTATTCTTGTCGCTAAATTCTGTGCAATCCATTAGAGTGCCAATTCGAGGATCGTTCTTCTCGACGATGAGATTGACTGTATTTGTTTCTATTTGACGTTGTTGACCCACTTTCATCTCATTTAGACATTCATCTTCCAAATCAAGGGAGTTATCTGTTATCAGAGGCTCAGTTTCTTCAAGCGGATGTGTTAACCAAGTAGGTCCATTCCACCAAAGTGATGTAGATGCTAATTCATCGGGATCAATATGTCTAGTAAGAATACTGGCAGGGTTTTCTGGACCAGGACAATGTCTCCAACAATTTTCACCATCAGGAATCAGTGTTCGTATCTCGTCTACTCTGTTTTGTACAAACTGCTTCCATTCTTTAGAGGGTTGTGTTATCCAGTATAAGGCTACTTTGGAGTCAGAATAACAGACAGGATTCAGTAGAGTCATAACAGGTTCAAAGGCTAATCTGATTGATGTCAAAAGTCTAGATAGTACAAGTGCGGATAACAATTCAAGGCGTTTGTTGATAGTAGACACTCGAGGTTTTCGAGGCAATAAACTTCGTGAAGATACCATTTTTAGTTGTTAATTTAAGATACACTACAGCTCCATATGCAACTAAAGAGGCATCACAGAAACCAATCAATTGGTAGGCATCAATGGCTTCATCGGAAAGGTAACATCTTGGCAAGTGAATAGGTTTCATGCCTTCTAATCCCTTAACTAAGTTGTTCCATTTGTGTAAGCTGTCTCCATCTAAAGGTGTATCCCAATCTCGTTGATCCTTACATAATTCCTGGAACAATAGCTTGAATTGAACTATGATTGGTGAATTAAATCCTAAAGGATCGTAGAACTTGGAGGCTATACTTATAACGCTTCTCTTTATTGGCTCAATTGATGTTGCTTCTTGAAAGATATCACTCAGATCAAATATGAATTCATCAAGGTTGTAATCCCATCTTATTCCAAGGATTTTCTGTTCAGTAGATGATAGTCCGAGGGAAGTTCTTGTAAAGGTTTCGTCTTCTTGGGTAACGAGGTTTGGATAATCAGTTTTTGACTCTTCGTTGGACATTTCTTCATTTTTGGTGATTCGTTCAAATAATTCCTTTGAGTTAGTCAAGAACTTTCTTAGGTTAAATCCAGCTTCTGATAGTCTCAATTTTAGATTTTACATAAAATTGATAGGCCTCTTCAGGGGTATTTGATCCAGAGGTAACATCATCAACGTAGATAGATTTGAGGAAATGATTCACGAACTCTTCGTCATCTTCTTCATACTTTTCCATGTGGTGTTTAATCGTGGCATTTAACAGGAAAGGACTTGAGAGATTTCGAAGTTATTCCAATGGATTCCAAGTCCCAAAACTGTGCGAGTTTTGAGGTAATATTTTCTTCTGTTTTGGTAATTTGCGACGAACATTTTAAAACATGCGTTGTGATGAGGTTGTTTCTTGTATTCTGCGTATCCATTCCTGTTCCCATGGTCGGTCCAGAGAGTACCCATCCTACTTTGGTGTGAATTGCCACAGGTCCTTCATCCCCCCGTTCCGTTCTACCAGTAACAAGGTTCCAGTATTGGTCAGATCCAATAAGAATATCAATGGGGAGACAGTCTCCACCGAAGGTGTAATGTGCTAACCAAAGTCGAGATATATGGGGATAGATTCTATGTGTCTGAGCAACATATTGGTTTTCAAGGGAATCACATATATGTGGTACTACATAGGCTGTTATTTTCATATCTGTAGAATCTTCAATCTTCACGCAGAATTCGACAACATCAACAGTTTGTATAATTTCTTCAGATGTTCCAAAGGTCTTGACTTTGATGGTTTGCCTTCCGATTACTGACAAGTTAAGAGCTTTTGAACTTCTTTCGGTTATATATGCACGTTGGCTACCATTATCAAATATCATCCTAGCAAACATTCCATTTCGGGGCTGGCCATGTCTGTAGATGAAGATTCTTGCAGTCTGTAGTAGAACTAGACAGGATGATGATGAAGAGTGCATGGTAATAGAGGAATCATTCGAGCTATTATTACTTCCATCCTGCCGAGTCTGTGGATTATGAGTTTGATTGTAGGAGTATTTTGAAGAGTTTCCATGTTGTTGTTGTGGTAATCTACCTTTGTCGCTTGAATTCGCGGGGCAGATACTTACATGATGACGATTTTCGCATTGCGTACATCTCATATTGGTAGGACAATCTCTAGATCTGTGGCCCTTGCGGAGGCATATGTAACATCTTCCAAATTTCCTTAAGATGTCTTTCCTTGCATCGACGTTACTAATTGTTTTGCAGCTTGCTGAAGGGTGACTATTTCTACAGTAGGTGCAGGTTGGTCCTTGAGATGATTCTTGTGTGTAGAGAGCTGTTGCAGTTGCTGGCCCAGGTCCTTTGGTATAGTAGGAGTGTTTCTTGTTCTGATTTAAGGGTTGGGGTTGCTGACTTGGTCTAGTAGAAGTTGATCTGGCGCGTTCTCGGGCCTCTAATTCATCACAAAAGACTTCAAGTAGTTGATCTAATTTCCATTGGTCTTCCTTAGTTTCACGATTTACAACCAGTCTCATTTCATGTGGTAATTTATTCATAAGAACTGAAGAGAGAAGACTTCCATAAGTTTCAGATGTGACTCCAAGGGCTTTCAAACCTCTTACGTTCGATTCCACTGCGTCATAAAGTTGCCTAAGGCCTCGTGTGTTGTGATTAGATGTCATTGGTTCTATGTTCAACAGGGTTTCCATATGGTTGGAGATGATATTTTGCTTGTTTCCAAATCTGTGCTGTAGAATAGATATAGCTTCTTGATAATTGGCTGCGGTAAGAGATAATCCTGAAATGGCGTCTGCAGCAGTTTTTTCTAAGAGTGAAAGAAGATAATTAAACTTGTTTATTGGTGTCAGGCTGTCATTATCATGAATAGAAGATTTGAAGGAGTCCCAAAAGGTTTGCCATTTGGAATATTCACCATCAAATTTTTTCAATTCCAATTTTGGTAGTTTGATGTAAGGTCTAGAGGTTCTTGTCTGGTGATTTATTGGAGAATTTGTGGCAGGTTCTGTAGAATTTGGTGCCGGTTGCAGAGTTTCCGGTTCAGGCGTAGCAGGGGCTCGAGAAAGTGGAAGGCTATTAGTGTCAGGGGTCTCTTCATTTGACACATTTTCATCTGACTTTATTTTCTCCATATTCGAAAAGTTTGATTCTATGCGACGTAGGATCAGTTTTATTATCTCAGAGATTTAATCGCAAAGTTCTATTTCTTCGATAATATCATCTTCTTGGATGGAATTCAAAATCTCCTTATTCAATGTAGTCAAAATTTCTGATTTTTCGTGCAAGCTCTCTTTAATGTGGCTCAAAATGTCATAGACTTCATCAAAATTTTCATCTGTCAAACTATTCAAATTGTCATTTGCTTTCCCTACCAATTTCTTGACAGCAGCTCTATGTCCATCTCGTATCTTCAATTTTCTATTAATTCCGGGAGGCATTGTGTTTTATTCAATCAATGTGGGCTCAAATTGTGTTTACATTCGGGGTCTAGCCGAAAAAATGGCGGCATAAACATTCTTTGATCTTCAGTCAGGAAAAGATTCATTCAAATTCGGCGTTATTTCTTACTTGAAAATCCAGCTATCTGTTCAACCGATCCGTCTCGTCTTGACCATGTGGGGTCGGGGAAGAATCAAAGCAAGAAATAAGATAAAGACAACTGTATTTTCAGAGAATTCAGGATACATAAACAATCAGGCTTCTACATTTTTTTATTGTCACTATTATCAAGTCTCAATTTTAATGAATAGTTCTATTAGATCTGATCATTAAGTCTATCAGTAATAACAGCGTCTAATATTAGACTATGGATTTTTATACAGTACAATATGCGTTAAAGGATCACAAACAATGTCCAATATAAACTTCCGGTTTTACAGAGGTCGGAAAACTGCAATTTTCAAAACTTTTAAGTTTCATATCTCTTTAATTTGACGTTTTGACTAGAACATAAGTTATTATACTTGACGAGATCTTCATTTTTGTTGTGCAATGTTTACTTTCGGTTTTACAGCTAATTGAAAATTGACTTAACTACCGAATGTTAACACCTTTTACTACAGAACATTATCAAGTTCATGCGTCTTTTCACTACTGAACGTTAAGTCGTTTATAGAATTTTGACTACTGAATGTTAACATGCTTTTCTTTTCGGTAAGAAAATCCCACTATGACTTTAAAATGCAATGTTTAGCGGACACGCACTGCATCAGTATTCCCACGGATCAAGTTTTATTTAAAATTAAAGCTGCCAGTAAGCATATATCCAGCAAACCTTACAACTATCCTTGTATATATTTTTCGAGATACAAAAAGATTTTGCAAATACATGGACATTGGAATTTATTGTTTTGTTTATAACTGATTTCTTTTATTTTACTACAGAAGTGACTTCCATAAGGAAATCAAGATCATGTCCCAACTCAAAGATCCTAACATTGTACGAGTATTGGGAGTGTGTACCAGAGAAGAACCATTATGTATGATCGTGGAATATATGAAATATGGTGATCTTAATCAGTTTTTATTGGAACATGTCCCTGAATCTCCGGTAGCTGAAGCTACTAACGCAAAGACCCTTAGGTAAGTCCTTCTTTACTACCTGACTATTATACTAGATTTCTAGAAACTGCAATGTTCCTTAAAATTTTATATCCGATACCATCATCAGTTTATTAGTTCATTACTAATGAAATACTTCTGGCCCATCAATTGCTTTTGATTCATTCATGACCCTATGTCCTATCAGTGTTCTTTCTTCAAAGGTTTTTTTACAATGGATACTGATTTGTGAGGTTCTGTAGCATAGTTGGTTAGAGCATTGTTACTTTATGAAGTCATTTGCTTGGTTACTCCAAACCAATGGTGACTGTGGGATCACATTGAATAATCATGATCTTGAATAATCATCTTCACTCCTAATCAAAGTCGACCCAGCTGTAAATGGGTACAGATAATTTAGGAAAGACGAATGGCTTAGCAGAAAGCTGGTAGAAAGGATCCTTAATTGTTAACTCATGATTGTTATCCTTGTAAAAAATAGTTGTCTTTCATTCTTTCTTGATGTTGCTGTTGAACAAAACAACAATGTTGCTGTTGAACATTTCCTCAACCATGCAATAAAACATAAAATTACCAGTAATTGGCATGAACTCAGTATTGTATACAAGGTTTATTCTTTCAGTTATGGATGTCTAATCTATATTGCTACTCAGATTGCCTCTGGTATGAAATATCTTGAATCTCTGAACATGGTACATCGCGATCTGGCTACAAGGAACTGTCTGGTTGGCCATAATTTCTGCATTAAGATTTCTGATTTTGGAATGAGTAGAAGCCTCTACAGTGCTGACTATTATAGAATTGAAGGTCGTGCTGTTCTACCTATTAGATGGATGGCTTGGGAGAGCATTCTCTTGGTACGTAGTGCTCAAATTCAGTTGTGCCATTTACTTAATATCAATCAATAGAAAATCAACTTATGATTAATATACTTCCTCATGTGGAAAGCTGCTACCAATGTTTGTGGTTGGACCATTGGTATAGTTTATTTATTATCTTTGTCATCTGTTTTAAAGAATAGGTATCATAGACTACATTAGCAAGATAATGATATTACAAATAATTCTCACAGTTGACAGCACTTGTTATCTTGTATTATAAAAATAGGTTGGAATCTATTTGGGCTACAGGATTTTAAGTATTTTGGTACAGGTGCAAAATTATGTAAACTATATAAATTCCCACAAGAACTTCTTTATGTGTTTTGTACTAACATTCCAAGTTTTAAGAGAATTAGTTTGAATATTTTGATTATTAATATGCTACAATATGATCCTCCAAAAGATATGGGTATGTATAAGATACAAGATGAAATTTCATAGATGTCAAATCAAACTAATCGTGTATTCTTTTTCAGGGAAAATTCACAACGAAGAGTGATGTTTGGTCTTTTGCTGTTACATTGTGGGAAGTTCTTACATTTGCTAAGGAACAGCCATATGAATCTTTATCTGATGAACAAGTGATTGAAAATGCTGGACATTATTATCGTAATGATGGACTACAAATAGTACTACCTCGACCTGCTAATTGTCCAAAGGAAATCTTTGATTTGATGCGTGAATGCTGGAATCGCCAAGAAAGTGAGCGCCCATCGTTCCGGGAAATCCATATGTTTCTTCAAAGAAAAAACATGGGATACAATCCTAAGGATGAAAAAATGAACCAAATAAAAGTTCCAATTTGTTAAAGTCCCAAAATGAGTAATCTTTTGTTAAAGATTAAAGCTAGTCACGAAACCACATATCAACTGTTACAAAGACTTGGTATGTGTTTCACCACATTGGTTGCCATTTTTCATGGTTGTGCACTTTTCTCCCTTCACAGAATAGTTCTGATATAAAGGGAGATAAGAAGACTTTAGGGTGCTATTATTTTTATTTCTGTGTGGACTCATTTATACCAAAGGTTAGAAATATATATGGATAAATATTGAACTTATTTAGACTGGTTACAAATTTATGTTTTTGTGAAGAGCTGATATCAGACTAATTGACAACAAAGTGACACAAATTGGATCTGCCAATTTTCAATTCCCTTGGATTTTATCTGTGATTATCTTGCTCAAGGTGCAAGGGATATTGTTTCCATAGTGACAGTTATAAGTGATAACAATATTGTTAAAAAAGAACAAATTTTAAGACTCATGAAAATGATTTGAGTTTCAAATTCTTTTTGTGTGTAATTTTACAGTTTGATTAAGAATGATATTTCTGAGATTATTATTCCACTTTCTATAGATTTTTATAATGTCCTAGAAAAGATGCTAGCTGTAGAAATTTGCTTCTATTTGAATATAAACAATTAAGAGATTTGTTTTAGTTAGATTTAGAACTATTTGTGTATTGAATATTATTTCAAGTCTGTAAATAAACAAAATGAGACAATTTTTCCCCTTGGCAACTACATTAAAATGCTCTATCATAACCTAGTCAACATAAATAAAAGTGTTGGTTTGACATTTTCTTCTACAAATTGACTTAATAGATCTTGGATAGTCATAAAGAGATATAACTGCTGGTCTTCCTTATATGTGCATTACCAGAGGATAATAAAAGCTATTTGAGACAATTTTCAAAAATGACATGGAGGAAAAATTTGGATGTCAAAATCATGGTAAAATTGTTATGGGCATGTCTTCACCATGACAAAACCGAAAAATTAAATAATCATCAATTCCTCTGGTATGTTTATGTAGACAAACCATAATCAAATTTACTCTCTGGTTAGTGACATTTATAGCCAATATTCCAAGATTAGTTACATATTTTTGGCTCAATTACCTAGTTAATAAATTAAGTTGCTTTGATGAATATATAATCAAAAGTAAATTTCTTGCAGCATAATATAGTTATAGTTGTCTATGCCAAACTTTAAATTATAAACCTCTTTAATGTTGAGTATAAGGTAATGAATTGTAATTTGTATGTAAATATAGTTGTATAATTTACTGTCTTCAATTGTTGTGAGCATTTATCACCTTACACATTTTATGTATAATATTTTATCTAAAAAAAATCTTAAAGTAAGGAATAGTTCTATGTCGGTTACTTTCAAATTTTTAAGCATAAGAAAATAGTTTTCACTCATTGTTTAAATGCCTTTAATATCAGCTGAAGTGACATTTATAAGAGCATTTACTTAAATATTTATAAGATGTCTAAAAAAGGTTTACATTAAAAACACAAGATATATTGGATATACTACTTCTGAATTTGTTACATACTACTGCGTTTCGAAACACATAAAGGATTACTTGATAAAGTTACCTGTATGTGTTTTGAAATATAGCATTAATAAAGTCAGAAGTAGTTTATCCATCTTATGTTTATAAAAATATTTAGGCCTACTAATGCTTTACATCAATTGTGAATTAAGCTCAATTGTTATGAGATCTATGTTAAAGGGGTATTCTGCTTTAACTTCAACATGTAGAACTGGGTTAATTATACGCGATATTATATGTGTGGCCTTTGTATAGTTTCTATAGTTGACCTGGCGACAGATGTTTGATGTATTTCACGCTCCAAACCACAAAAAAATGATTGAAAAAAAGAAGAATGCCTCTTTAAAGCCACATCTGCTCCTGGAAATTAGTACTATTACAAAAACCAAACAAGTAATCCCATTTATGTCGCATTTCGCTTTTTCTAAATGCAGTTGAAGAATTTATATTTCATTGCAGCTGTCTGTTAGATATTGTTTTCATATTCTATACCAAATGATACTTCAGGGACCTTATTCTCGTAACCATAACTGAAATAAAATCAAGATTCTAAGAAATACGGTAATCTGATTGGTAAATAAAACAGAATCTAAAAAGCGATGTGATTGACCACAAATCAATTGTCTGGAAGGATCATCTTTTTTAACATTTCATTAGTGATGAATTTTGTCTGCTCTCCTTTGATTGTTCCTACAAACTAAAGACAAGTTAACTTCACTTATTTCACTTTCATGTGCACTGTGTTATTGTTAAAATAGTAGATAGTAGATCTATGTATTTTAAGTATGATAGTTCTTCAAGGGTTTCGGTTAAGGGTACATTTCACTGTGAATGGTGTCACTATAGAAGATGAAATTCCTATAGTAAACTGAAAATGAAGCTGATATTTGAAATATGGACAAAGTATAAACAGAATGCAACACAAGACTTATAATGGTTGTGACCTCCTTTGTACTTTAAATTTGTACAGTATATACTGCCAGAATAAACGACTTTCCCATGAATTAAAAATTAAATGGTCTTCTGCAAATGAAATGGATTTTTACGGGCACCCAAGCAAGTAAATGATTGCGAGATATTTATTGGCCAGATTTTAATATTTTTAAGGGCAGTTGTTCCATACTAGGTGGCAGTTTCACTTCTTAGTATTGGTTAGATATAATTGCAGGCATACTTTAACATGGATTATCATTCATCATAGCTGAAATTTGACTCATTAATTCCTTATCAGTTGATTGACCTTAATTTCAGCTTACACCATCATTTTATGACCCTATCACTTCTTAGTAATGTGTACATCTAATTGCAGGCAAACCTTAATTTGGATTTTCATTCTGGAAAGATCTAAGGGTAGCTGAAATTAAGTTCTGTCAGCATTGAAAAAAGTATATTATACCAAATGATGACTGGAAAGGAGTTCTGTCAAATTGATTGATGAAAAGAAGATTTTTGTAGTTGCTACTAGTGGAAGAGTCCTCAATTTGTGAAATTAAGGGTATATTTTTATATTCTATGAAAGAAAATGTATTAGTACAAATTTTAATGTGAGAACTCAATCGGAGATGATTTGGGCAAAAGTTTGCTCCAGAATCTTGAATTTCACCCAAATAGTGATATTATTTTTCTATGAGATCCAAAAGCTGACTTTGCTGATTTTGTGGATATTGTGCAGTGGCAAACCCTTCTGTCCCACCCCCCCTCCCTTGGCGCTCGCCACTGTTTTCAGTGTTTAATATGAATGATACATTATAGCTTCTCGAGCCAAAAAGAGAATAAAAAAAATTAGACTTACGTACCGAAAAAAATTGTTGCGATTTCCCTCAATGAACTTATAAGAAATAAAATTTTGGAGAGTTTTTAACTATCATAATGGCAAATAGAGTCCTAGTGTTATTATGCCCCTCTGCCCTCCTTCCCCCCTCTTAATTAATTAAGATTCACTTTTCTGTCAAAACTAACTTAAGAGGCTCTCACATAGCAATCACCAACTGCATTAATGGGTTGTGAATAAGACTAGCAGTCATAAGTTTCGAACACAACACTCCAGCAACTGACTTGTGAGTTGCGTTTGATACTCGTGACCACTTTCATTATTCACAACCATACGCAACTGGTAATGACTATAGTGTGAAGAAACCTTAAAGTTTAGAGAGTCAATGGAGCAAATTCTGAGCTAATTTAAACCACACCATTATTACTAAATGTAGATTTTGTAAAATAGAATTACTGGGCAGGGAGTTGACTTCTCCTTAATGAACAGGCTGCTTAGAGCTGTCGTCCATTAAGAAGTAAATAGATATATAGTTAAACTCGATATTAAGAATGTTAGAAAATTTATTGGCTGTATTTTGTAGACGGTGTCCTACATTTTTAGCATGAACAATTTTTAATCGTCAACTTTAATTTTTCATGTCCTCATTTAGGTCTAATTCATAGTTTTTGTTCCTTATAGAAATGTCTGAAACATTGGACATTTCAAAAACCTGAGTTGTTTGTTCCTGTTAATTTATTATAAATCAACTTAGAAGGTTTCATTTTTACCATTAATATTGATAATACACTGCTGTGTTGTTTTCAATACAAAAGTTGGATTTGGATTTTTATTTGAAATCTATTTTAAGGATTGTAAGGATTTGTCAATGTGAGCAAAATATGAAGTACCATACAATAAAAAAAACAAACTTAAGGTGCCCTCACACCACAGCAAATACCAGTTAGGTATGGTTGCAAATTATGAAAGTAATGAGTAGGCCTACCCTCAGCTGCATGAAAGTTGTGTTGGGAAATTATGATCTCATTCGCAACTGGTGATCACTATAGTATCAGGACCCCAGAGAAAATAAGAGGATTATAATTTGGAAGTGATCGAAATGTTGAATAGCAATTGTAACTGTTCTTGCTTTACTTTTTTACCTCAATTTTTCATTTACAATGAATCTTGTTTCATCATTCGTTTTCATGTAATTTGTGTATGCTCATTCATATGTTGTACACACTTTTTCAAACACTAGAATTGAATGAAAAAAATATTACATGCTACTGACTTTTTTTTTTAGATGCTTTTAATTTTTGCTTATTAACACTCTAGAACCTGCTAGAACCCAAGTGTTTTTTCTCTGCATAATACCTTGGAAGACATTCTATGCAGTCGCAGATGAAATATCCCCTCAATTTTTAGAATTAAACAAAACTGACTTCCCCATTTTTAACGATATCTGGTATTAAATTAAAAATTAAAAGAACTTCACATCTAATTAATCAATCATTTTTCAATGAAATCTTTTTATCGTGTGAAGAATTGTGTTATATATTGTATGGTTACAAAACAAAAAAACTTTGTGGACATGCGTCTCTAATGTCCTCTTACCTGCATGTGATTATTTAAAAGTTATATTATTATGTATATGTACATGTATTATGTCAGCAAGTTCAAGTTGTAATTTTTTAATGTTTTTTTTTTGCTGAAATTAAATTAAGGTGCGCTTTGTTCTTATCTGTAAATAAAAGCATTGTACAATGATTGAGAAATGTGTCTGTATAGGAACTATGCCTATATTGTAATATATAGTCATTCTGATTTTGAAATGTCGTATGGGAATAGTCGTAAGATATGAATTCAAACTGAAAATGTAATGTATAATTGGTTAATCGATAGTCATAATATAGCATTAAATGGATATGTAAGTGTCAGTATCTCCAACTTTGGAAATATCTGTTCAAATTGAATGTTTCTTAGATCGACTAGGTGTCCATGTTAAAAACCTGTAAAGTCAACAATACCGTATTTTCCTACCCGTGGTCAATAAGGTATTGAACTTTCATTTCCTTTTACGTGGCCAAATCTACAGAGAACGAAAAGTATTCGAAAATTCTGTAGAATAAACAGAAGTAATTATGTTGTGTTTTTGTCAATACCTTTCATATACCCACTCCCTTTTAGGTCAATTCTACAGAGATCGAAAAGTATTCGAAAGTCTCGGAGAATACTACTACAAGGGGAATACTACTACAGAAGTTTGTATATAAAATTGGGTATTGAACTTTCATTTCCTTTTACTTGGCCAATTCTACAGAGATCGAAAAGTATTCGAAAATTCTGTAGAATAAACAGAAGAAACTCTGTTGTGTTTTTGTCAATACCTTCAATTTCAAATTAGAATCTGTAGTTGTAGTATATGAATCAATCACAGAAGGAAGTAAATACGGCATTGTTGACTATATAGGTCATAACATAAAACTCGTAAATCATCACAAAAACACAATTCAAAAAAACACATCCTCTGTCTAACATCTTGAACTATCAAAATAACTTAATCAGAAACCTATAACCCCTTCATTAGATGGAATAATTAATGAAAAAGCACAGAGCACATTAAAAATCCCGTTATACATACAAAATAACTTCCTTGATTGCATAACATCCGGTTTTTTGTTGACACTTTTTATTAGTCTCTTTTTTCTAGAAACTCCTGGAGTTACAGTCCGAGATAACTCCGTTTGGAAAACAGACCACAATTTCTATTCAAATTTTAACATTTAAAAATGGCAAATAAAAATTACAGACTAAATCCTACCTTTCACTAATACAATCCAATTCAATATTCATTTAACAAGAAAAAAGAGGATTATATAATCATCTCACCCACTGTTGGTTCTAAATCTCAACTGAATGATGGAGGTAGAATAACCTTCGAAATTAATCCATTTCATTCCAATGGGAACGTGCATCCAATCTATAAGGTCCCAAAAAAGTCCTAAACACCCTACATTCCATCAATTCCAAAAAGACATCTACATCCTACATTCCATCAATTCACACCCCCAAAAAGACCTATACACCCTACATTTCTTCATGTTTCTTGTTTGGAAAAACAGACCACAATATCTACTCAAATTTTAAACTTTAAAAATGGCAAATAAAAATTACATACTAGATCCAATCTTTAAATTATACGATCCGATTCGTTACTCATTTAACAAGAAAAAAGAGGATTCTATTATCATCACACCGACTGTTGGTTCTAAATCCCAGTTGAATGATGGTGGTAGAATTACCTTCGAGAATAATTCATTGTCGAATTAGTTGCTTCTTTCCGATGCTTCTTTCAGATGCGATTTCAAAATAAAAGATGAATCTCCCAATCACAATCGTGTACCACAAACTAATACAACGTTAGAAAACAATTTCTTTCTATCTTTATTTAGCGAGATGGTTTTGGAAGCTGGTTCAAATCCTATAGAAACCATTAAACACCCTGAGGAACTTGACACAATGTTGAAAACAGTTTTATATCCCAAAAAATACGATTCAGTCTCAGGTTGGATACCCGATGTTGGTGATGGAAGTGTTTTAAAAGAACCGGTAAGAAAAGTTCCAACTGAAGCAGATTTAGCTAGAGTGAGAGCTGTTGATCGAAACACGCTAGAAAGAGTAGGACGAGCAGTTAACCATGGATTCGAAAAACGAGTACTTAAGTACAACAATTCCATTGATAATATTAGTTGGGGTAATTACGTAAATTTGAAGTTATATCCATTATTCGATCTGTTGGAACACAGAAATGTTTCCATAGGATTACCATATAAAATTCATCTACAAAGAGAAGTCAATGATGATAAGATATTCTTTGGATGCAAAGATAGAAATAACGAATCTCCAACTTTATATACCCGTCATAACACCATTGAAGTAGAAACGAGAATATTCAACATGTTGACTAAAGATATTGAAATAGATTTTCTTCGTCGTAACACGGTGGGTAGCATGACTTTAATTGGAGAATCCACTACTTGGCCAATCACCAATACTATTAAACCAGCAAGATATTTAATGGTTGGTCTAAAGAACTTACCAGACTCTCAGACGAATAACAATAATGTCTTTAGAGTGGCATTGAACCAAGATCAAGATCCTATAATCCATAAAGTTTAAGTAAGATTAAACAATGATAATTATCCTAACCAACTTTTAACAATTAATCCATCCACAAAGGATTATAATGAATTGTATAGAAACTATAAAAATATGTGTGAATTATTTGGAAATCCACCTTAGTTTGAATATGTAGATTTTGCAATTAATCACCCAATCTTCTGTTTTGATCTATCAGCTCACCAAGAAGATCTTTTCAAAACAGGAGTAAATATAAATATTCATATTGAAAAAACACAAGGAGATGTAACCGGGTATTGTTTACTACTCGGGGAAGCAAAACATTTAATTGAAATAGCAGATAGAAGAATGATAAGAATTGAGTAAAAAATACACCCTTAAAAATGAAACCAGAAACTTTAGTCAAGAAAATAATAGAAGCTATTGAAACAGCTTCCCCAACTGTAATAACTTTCGATGGTAAAAAAATCAGCAATAACTAAAAAAAACTTATTGATAAATACAAATATTGGAAAGTCATAGACGATAAAGACTTAGAAAGAATTGACGCGAATGCAAAGGAAGGTGGATTTTTACCTTTCCTACTACCTTTGATATTTGGTGGTCTTACCGCAGCGAGTGCAATAACTGGTGGTAGAGCTGCCTCAGTAATCGCTGCAAACGATAAGAAAGCAGATACAGTAATAGCTGCTGAAAAACATAGACATATAATTCAGAAATGGAAACGGAAGCACAGAAAGAAGCTACTGCAAATAAAGTTTCAGGAGTGGGAGATATATTATGCACAATAAAAGAATTTGGAAAACGATTTTGGGAAGAAACCAAGAAAACTGTAAAACAAGGATTAAATAAATTAGTAGATAGTATTGACACAGGAGAAATGAAAGTTAAACATAGGGGTAATGCTATAGTTTTTAAAAACATACACACTGGAGAAGGATTATTTCTTTCAAAGTATAAAGGAGAAGGAGTGATTTTTGGAACAAACTGTCATTGTATATACCAATCTCAATCTTTTTACGGAATGGATGCAATGTCCATTAGAAAAAACGCAAATTGTTTTTGTGTCGCTTCCAACCCCCCTATGCAAAAAAAAGTTTTACGGACCTTGCTCGTTTGAGATGGCAAATCTTAAACTACAAATGGCGTAAATATCATTTATTCAAATTTAAGATAAATGACGATAACAATATGCAAATAAATTGTAAAATTCCGCCATCATGTAACTGAAATAAGCCTATCTTATACAAATGAACCATTAGATAAAATATTTACGTACAACCGAAACTAGATACTAAACAACTCATACATAATTAATAAACATATAATTCATTAACGCATTTACAGAGGTGAAGGAGGGGAGGTAGACGGCAATCAAAATTCAAATTTCTTTAGGCCTTTGAAAAGTGGCTTGCTTCAACAAAGTCACGATTAAAAAGGCCTAATATGGGAAGTAACTCTGATATTCTAATAATTGATTACGGGGACGTAACTCAATAACGATAGTTTCCAGACTACAAAATGTAATTATATTCCATAATTGTGGGACTTTGCTTCCCAAGTCCAAGTTTGTTATCGTATTGTCAATTCTTTTTTTTTTTGTAGGACTTTGCTTTTAGCAAAGTCCCAGTTTGTTATCGAAATGTCCATTCTTGTTTTGCAAATGACTATTTTTTTTGCAGTGCGTTCTTTGAACGCACTGCTTTGTTTTGCAAATGATTTTTTTTTTTTTTTTGCAAATGAATATTTGCAGTGTGTTCTTCGAACGCACTGCTTTGTTTTGCAAATGACTATTTTTTTTTTTTTTCGAATTTTACCTTCGCTTGTTTTCTAAGAAGGCAACATGCCACAGACTGTCTGTTGTTGTTTTCTAGTCAAAATATTTGACAGTTATTTGTTAAATGTAAATTGGCACCATTTTGACCAACCGGGAATGAGCTGTGGACAATGGCTCTTTTTCGATTTTTTCCATTAATCAGCTTTACTACTGATCTGAATTTGCTTACACTTTTCTGTTTATTACATCGCGCTAATGACTACAAGATAGCAATTGAAAAAATGGACAATTTT